TAGTAAACCTTAATTTACTATCAATAGAAACGCCCAGATTTTTTACACAATCGGCTTTTGGGGCACGTTTTTTTGCCTTGAATGGGCTTTTTAAGTTTATCGCTACAGAACACGATGAAGCAAGATTTAGTTGCATTTATTTTCAAAGAGTGATTGTCCGATGCCTTGGCTACCCTTGCAAGATCTTCGTTGATCATTGCCGCAGAGGAAACACCCCTTGTAACAAGCACAAGATCAGAATGATTCATTGAATTCATGAACATGATTCGCTTTGAAAGCTTAGCGAAGAATTTCGTGTTAGGTGATCTAAAAATAACCGCGCTTACATTACGTAGAGTTGCCTCGAAAGTTTGATCAAGAATTCAATACGCGATCGAAAAATGCTCGACATGCATAGATTCGCTTCGAACGTTTGGTTAAGAATGCCTTTCTTCCAACCGATTTTTACTTATGTACTCGCTGAGCTCTAATGATGAAACGACCCCAACGAAAATCACTCTTTTTTAGCGTAAAAAAAATGTGCTATTTGCGTTTTGTCCGAGGTTTTGTCCGTCCGTCTGTCCGTTCGTCCAAGCATAAAAGTACCTGGAGTGGGTCTGAATTGGTTGACAACTCGGTTGACAAGCAGTATCATTTTAGTCAGTTTTGGCCCGCAGCAACTATTTCAGATACAAATCCTATTATTTTCATTAGTTTTATCGATAAATCCGTTTCAACTGTGCAGAACTTTCAACTTTTTGGTTCAGACATGAAATCTTTTACTTCAGCAGAGATTGTAGGGTTGCCAATTCTAAGATTGGATATTTAAAATTAATGTTATGTTTTGTATCATTTGATGGTCATTTGCGTCGGTTGACAGAGGTAAAGGCAGATTATTGTGAAATATTTTCTCGTGGAACCCTAACCATTGTCGGTATTGAAATTAAATATTTTTTATTAACAGTGATATGATATTTTATCTAGTTATCATCTGATAGCCATTTATCGTTATTGTCAAAGTTCATTGAATTGTCCAGTTGATTTCTTTAAGCTAATAAAAGCCATATTTCCAGTGGTTACAAATATTATATCAATTTTATTAGCTTAAAGAAATGATTAACGAAAACCCATCGTCAACTAGTTTTCCTATCACGAGGTATTTGCATCCTGACAAATTTGACGTAGAACCGGATGCTGCAGAAGCGGATGCACAATGGCAGCACTGGAGGTCAACGTTCGAAAGTTTTTTGAATGAAGAAGTAAAAACTGATTTAATACCAGATGCATTAAAACGCAAGCTCTTAGTAAATCACCTGTCAGCTTCAATCTACAAACATATCAAAACTTGCGAAACTTACGAAGCCTCAATTGCAGCTTTAGAAGGTATTTATATTAAACCTAAAAATATAATTCTAGCCAGGCATATCCTTTTTAACCGGAAACAACGTGCGGATGAAAACATCTCTGACTACGTAAGAGCTTTACGTTTAGCAGCAAAAGATTGCTCTTTCGAAACCGTTATCGCTCAAGAACATGAAGAACAAGCAATCCGTAGCGCCTTAATCTCCGGCCTGCTTTCTCGTAAAATCAAAGAACGCCTGCTAGAAAATAAAAAACTTACTCTTGCCGAAGCACTTGACCAAGCTATTGCACTTGAAACAGCTGAAAAGGACGCGCTAATAATAAGTAACAATTCACCGCAAATTAATGCTATATACGAACAAAAACAAGATACAGCATCAAACATAGCAGCGGCTACACAACACCGACCATCACAAACAATACTTGAACCATCCTCACGAGCAGTGAGATGTTGTTTCTTTTGTGGTGGTAACGTACATCAAAGGTTTAAGTGCCCAGCTTTCCGTGCTATATGTAACCTGTGTTCTAAAAAAGGTCATTTTTCAAATGTATGTAAATCAAGAAACGCTACCAGCAACTCGGCTTCGTTCAAAAACACAGTCAACAGTCTTATCGATGACGGCTCATCTCACTGTAGTACAATATCTGCCGCTTCATCGTCAAGCTTGAAAGGTGCAACTATTCTAATCACGGTGAATGGTTATAAAGCTGATGCTCTTGTTGACACTGGCAGTTCTGTCAGTTTTATAAACAGCAAGATCGCGCGCTTAATGAAATTACGTCAAAAACCATGTACACAGTCTGTCAACTTAGCCTCGCTGAATCAAGTATCAGTTGTCGAAGGTATTTGCTTCGCCAATATCACCATGAATAAACACAACTACAGGCAGATACCACTTCTTATCGTCGATAATCTCTGCGCGGACGTAATCGTTGGACACGACCTACTAAAAGAACATTGTAAAATTGAATTTGAATTAGGAGGTCCCCATGAACCATTACGCATCTGCAACGTAATGCAGTCCTCAGTGCCACCAGCATCTATTTTTACTAATTTGTCACCTAACATCAGACCTATCGCCGTAAGGAGTCGTCGATACAGTATAGAAGACGAAGAATTTATCAAGCAAGAAATATCAAAATTACTGGAAGACGGTGTAATAGAACCAAGCATTTCTCCCTGGAGAGCACAAGTCCTAGTAGCGGGAGGTGGCCCTCATCGAAAACGTCTAGTAATAGACTACTCTATGACTATTAACAAGTTTACAGAATTGGATGCATTCCCATTACCAAACATGGAAACGGTCGTCTTAAAAGTATCGAAATACAAAATTTTCAGTCAGATCGACTTAAAAAGCGCATATCATCAAATGCCCATTTTAGATAAAGAGAAAGTCTACACTGCTTTTGAAGCCTGCGGACAACTTTACCAGTTTACAAGAATTCCATTCGGTGTTACCAATGGTGTAGCAGCGTTTCAAAGGACTCTAGACTTCATCATAACCAGAGAGAAACTAGAAGGTACAGTTGTATACTTAGATGACGTGACAGTATGTGGTAAAGATGAGTTAGAACATGAACGTAATCTAAAAAAGTTTATGGATGCGGCGAGAAAATATAACTTAACACTAAATGAAAGAAAATGTGTTTTTAAGAAAACAAAAATCGATCTACTTGGCTATACTGTCGAAAATAACACAATCAAACCAGACGCTGAGAGATTGAAACCCCTTTTAGAACTTCCAGCTCCCATTAAAAACTCAGAACTCAAACGCGCTTTGGGAATGTTCGCCCACTATGCAAAATGGGTTGAAAGATTTTCGGAGAAGATAAAACCTTTAACTTGTGTTTCAAGTTTTCCTTTAACACCTGATGCTCTAAAATGCTTCCAAGAGATTAAATCAGACATAAAGAAAGCAATAGATGATGATGAAACTTTCACTGTTGAAACTGACGCCTCGGATTTTGCTATAGCCGCTACGCTTACGCAAAAGGGTCGTCCAGTCGCTTTCTTCTCTCGAACGCTTTCCAATCCAGAATGTCGACATTCATCAATAGAGAAGGAAGCTTGTGCAATTGTTGAAAGTCTTAAGAAATGGAGACATTTTCTGATTGGGAAACACTTTCTTTTAATTACGGATCAAAAATCAGTAACGTACATGTTGAATCAAAATCACAATAGCAAGATTAAAAATGAGAAGATAATGCGCTGGAGGCTAGAGCTATCCTGCTACAAATATGACATTATATATAGACCAGGTTCGGAAAACACAACAGCAGACGCTCTGTCACGAGTTTGTGCGTACATGAACACCGACAAATTAAAACAGCTTCATAATGCGCTTTGCCATCCTGGAGTAAGTAGAATGTTCCATTGGATACGCTCTAAAAACCTACCGTATACAGCAAATGATGTAAAAGAGATGATTGCATTGTGTCCAACGTGCGCTGAAATTAAGCCAAGATTTTTGAAAGCAAAAGGTCAACTAATTAAGGCTACGTCTCCATTCGAACGCCTTAATATACACTTTACATACACAGCGACAGAGGAACCTCATTCATGTCTGAAGAATTTAAAAATTTCCTAAAAAACTCAAACATTGCATCCTCAAGAACGACCCCATACAATCCACAGGGTAATGGTCAAGTGGAACGTTTGAACGGAACACTTTGGCGTACTATTCAGCTCAGTCTACGTTCCAAGAGTTTATCAATTGGAAACTGGGAGGAAGTACTTAAAGATGCCCTTCATTGTATCCGATCACTTCTTTGTACATCGATTAATGCTTCGCCACATGAAAAACTATTCACGTACCCTCGAAGATCACCAAACGGGGATTCGCTACCATCATGGCTTTCAACGCCTGGACCTGTTCTAGTAAAAAAAAATGTTCGTCACTCAAAGACCGATCCATTAGTAGAAGAAGCTGAACTTATCGAGAGTAATCCTTACTACTCTTTAATTAGAAGAGCCAATGGAGAAATGTCAACCGTAACAAATCGTCATTTAGCGCCTTTCCCAAACAACGTTGACGAGGGTGAAGATGACATTAGTCTTGAAACTTCAGAGACGGAGGCCTCACAAGAATTACAAACTTCTGATGGATCTTCGAACGGAACAAGAGCTTAGAAGGTCTACTCGAACTAGAAGGCCACCATCGCGTTTTCAAAACTTTGTTGTAGAAAGTGGAATTGAAAATTCTACAGGAGAAGAAAATTCTACAGGAGAAGAATGATATGATATTTTATCTAGTTATCATCTGATAGTCATTTGTCGTTATTGTCAAAGTTCATTGAATTGTCCAGTTGATTTCTTTAAGCTAATAAAAGCCATATTTCCAGTGGTTACAAATATTATATCAAACAGCGATATTTTTTTGAGGTTGATATTAACAAAATTTCACTTGGAAATGAAATAGAATTGCAGCATGTAAAGCGCCTCCGTCACTTCAAACATTTTCGGAAAGTTATTTCACTTTTGACTTTCATGAAATAACTTTCAGCATGTAGAACGGGCTTTATGCAACAAATGATTATAATTGTGTAAATTAAACATGTGTTCTTTAATTTTATTGTTATTATTAATGTAAAACATTAAGCAGTAAAAAGTTTTATAAAACCGTGTTTTATGGAAAATAAACATTTGTATTTTGTTTTAGAAAAGAAGCCATCGTGCGGACGAATATATATGTTTGGTAAAGAACGCATTAACTAAAGCTGTAGCACAGTGCATCGAAGCGGCCGGTTACGAATTCGATACTGACGTTCAAAAAATGCTCATACGGGTAAGTTATACATTAGAACACAAATCTATTTAACACTATTCTCTTTAGGCAGCACAATTTGGGAAATGTTTTGTCGAAAGCATCGATTCTGAGGATTATGTTAGAATGTGTAGACTATTGAGAGTTTTAAATTCTGTTCGAGATAGGAGGATTGGTATTCCGATCACGTTTACAGAGTATCCTTTGAAAACGAATCGTAAAAAGTAATACCTACTTATATTTTCTTAATTAATAATCATTAAAGATTGTTTTATTCTGGTCATAAATTCTTATTAGACAGACTGGTTACACGTCGTCAATATTATCTAGCTATATGCATTGCTAAGTATTTAAAAATGCCGGACAAGGATGGTAGTAGTCGTATTTTGGTTCATTGGGCTAAGTATAAGGTACAGTAGTGAGATGTTCATTTAATTATATTTTTGAGTTCACAAAACTGTTTGTACTAGTAAAAATGTTATGCGGAACAGAGCATCTTTTTTTTTAAATTGCATTTGGTACAATTTTCTTCACTTCGCTTTTTTAAACGTTTCAGTTCAATTCCTATTCGTTACAAATGCAAGAGTTTCCAAAATGTAAGCATGTCCATTTGTATTTTACTTTATTTCTTACTTTACAGGTCAGCCAACCACAACTAGATGAGGAATCTGTAGCACGAGAAATAGCAAATAAGTTTGGTTATGCAAGTGGTATATCGTACAGTGATATTGCGACTACGGCCGCCAATTGTGGTCGAAAACAGTTGGCAATTAAGGTAAGTGATGTACTGAGTTGACAGATTAATACTAATATAACATTGTGTGTTTAGTTATTAGATCATGAGTCGAAAGCAAGTGAGCAAGTGCAATTACTTCTGAAATTAGACGAAAATAAGCCAGCACTTCTTAAAGCTATCGAGAGTGGAGACACTGATTTAGTGTATATGGTGATTTTAAGACTTCGTGATAATATGCCATTGGCCGATTTTAAGGTGTGACGTGAAAATTGTCTCATTTTGTTGATTTTGTTGTTTTCAGATGACAATTCGAAACTTTCCGGTTGCTTTATCTCTATACATCAAATATTGCCGCCAACATAATCCGCAAGCTTTAAATGAAATATTCATTCAAGAAGATGATTTTAATTCACAAGCGCAAGGTTTTATTTTGGAAAGCTTAGATGAAAAGGTAATTGCTTGTTGTTGTTGTGCGATCACTTTAATTACAATTTCAGAAAACTCACACTCAAGACGCTTCGCTCACATCAGCAGTTGAAGCTTACAAAAAAGCTAGAAATGACGTGAGCTTTTCCATATGCGAGGAAGCGCTTAGGTTGTTGAAATATCAAAGATCATTAAAAGATAAAATCAATGAGGATCTTGTTGGTAAATCTGTTCACGATACCTGTACAAGGCTCTTAGAATTAAAAGATATCAAGGAAGCAGAGAGAATGAGAAGCAACTTTAAAATACCAGATCGAAGGTAAATCAAATGTTTAGGGTTTTTTTATTTATTTATTTATGTATTTATTATCCCTCTCTTGGTCTGGGCCCTCAACAGGCTTGCACCCAATTACAGAGTGACCCGCATAATGTTTTTTAGAGGTGCCTCTGCAGAAGGTCTTAAGTTGTTCTATACTACTCCGGTATTTACGTTAGGAATTAGGAAAACTGCAGGAAAACCTAATTCGGAATAGCGGGCAGAATGCTTGAAACTAGTCTAAAGTAATTCCCATCTCTGCCACAGATGAAAAATTCACTTCAACCCAGGTTCGAACACCCGACCTCCGGATTTATATTCCAACACTCTCCACTGAACCATAACGCCGGTTCGATTTGGGTTTGGTGTGAAGCAAGAATGGTACTCATGAAATATTAATTGGCTTAGAGGACGTTTGCTTCATCCAACAGAAACAATGGTAGAAAGGTTGACTGAAATCTATGATACCTTTAGATTTGGTCTTGGATTTGGTTGAATAATCCAAAAAAATATTTTAGGTTTTGAAATAGACTCTAGACTTACTTTTTTTTAGTAATATTTTTTTCCAATCCTTTTGACAAATCAGGAAGTTAGAATGTGTCTGCAACTCGTTTTTGTCTTCATGCTGAAACCGATTAAGTAAAAAAACCACAGTGTTCTGAATGGTCTGTCTCATTGCTGAGACCTCAAACCCTGAAATGAATGCTTAGTGAGAACTGAAAAGCAGCAATTCAAAATCAATTGAGGTTTTATTTTACGTAGTCACTGTTTTTGTCAATACATTATAGGATCCTCTGATGACCGCCGTGCGTATAGTCGCGTCTCGAATTTCTATAGTGCATCCATTTCCACAAAATCTTTTCTCATCCTAAATCAGTTCTTCACTAGAACCAATTTATTTATATCTGGAGATATATGGTACAATTAAATCTCTTATAATTCTTAAAAATAAGTTCATAACGGTTACAATTTTGAAAAAACCAAAATAATACTGAACTCATAACAGATAGGTATAGGGAATATAATAATTGAACCGTGTACAATTTTTTCAACATTTGAAAATGCAAAATAATAAGGTATGTTCATTTGGAAAAATCAGCTTTTTAAGGTTTGAAGTTATTAAAATTGACCATTAGTTTTAAAACAACCTGTAGAGAGGCTATCAAAATTTAAATCATTCGCATGTAGCATCACATCAGTATTGTTGATTTGGTAGACTTTTTTAAATTCTAGGTTATAGGTACAGGGCTGAAAAGAGAACTAGTCAAACGTCAAAAATCTTGAAAACTGTCTCTTCTATTATATATATAAAAATGAATCGCCGAAATTTATGTACGCGCATCACTTCAGAACGACTGCACCAAATTAAATAATTCTTTTTTTGTTGTGTTTCTCATTATCAGGACAAGATTTCTATAATTCTATAATTTCGTCATTTAAATCGCAATATAACTAATAGATGGCGTCAATCGTTTACCGTTTACAACCGTATGATGCTGTTTTAAAGAAAACCAAACAATTTCGATTACGTCCGAAGATATGACAGAAAACCCGAAAAAACGGTTTTTTGATTTTTTTACAATAACTTTTATAGCAATAAACACAGAAAAAAATCCTTCCTTGGATACAAGTCTCGACACCATAATGAACCAAATAGCGAAAAAAGTAGAATAATAGCTCTTAAGATAAAGAACTAGTAGCGTCTCAACGAACGAGCGGACACGGACGGACAAAGTGGCCACAATAGCGCATTTTTTTTCTTTTTGTGGAAATGCGCTAAAAATTGTTAGATAGGTATATGGTTGCACGATTAAGATGTTGTGCCCGGGTGCACCATCCTGTTGAAACCAACAATTTCCAACTGTTGTTTTTATTTGTGTGAACGTACATACATCGTTGCATTCGTAATAAAAAGTGCGTGTGTATTTTTTTAGCGGGCCATAAAAAAAATAAAGTTTGTGATGATTTATCCGAAACAAAACGTTGTATTAAAAATGTCTCAATGGTGCAGGGACAATGAGATAGTATTTTTTGGGAACAAGAAAACGGCAGTTATAGGTTCTATAATGTAAATCCAAGTGTCTGCTAATTATCGTCCAAAAAGTTGATGATATGATGTCTATACTCCAAACAATTCCTTCTGGTCAAATTCTGTTATATTCAAATTCGCCTCATTTTGTGGATTGTCGTCTAATCGTGTAGCGTATAGTGAGCCTTATGCAGAAAGTTGGGTTCAACGCCTCAACCTTGCGTCAGAGGTCGACCGATAAACGAGAAGGACGACCTGGTCGAGCAACCCGCCCAGTCGGCTCAAGCAAGATGTCTTTATCATTTCTCGGCCGACACGAGGTTAGATCCAACTTTTTAATATGAATATTTTTTGGAGGGTATGGTGGCCTCCCTAGACCCTCCATAGAAACGCTCCTGATTAAACGGATGTAAGCTGTGTTACAACTGCAGGGACTCGACTACGTTTACGAAGTCGCCGAGAACCGAGATACTTAAACATCTTGATGGATTTTAAGAAATGATGCATTTATTTGTCAGCATAAATTTGATTTATCAGTTAGTTTCTGCATAGATTGGTCAAGTTGCGCTCTTTATAGGTATTACTCACTCAACGACAAAAGTAAATGATTCATTCATATTAAATTACCTATCCTTTCTTTTGTATTACAAAAGCAGAAATGTGGTTCTGTTCTTCGTGGTGTTCTTTCGTCTGAGGTTTCGTGTGTTTTACTTTTCATTGACGAGGTTTATCGTTATAAGAAAATACCACAAGTGAGACGTCAAAATACCGGCGTATGCATATCGCAAGCCAAGTTCATAATCTTCGAAAGTGAAGAGAAAACTAAGAGGGCAAGCTGTCTCTTACAGTTTTGTCAAAAATTTGTCAACATTGCAGTGCTTTGTGCACTTAAGGTTTCGACCGAGGTTTCGACTAGAATTGGCAGGATTATGTTGTGCAAACGGAAAGGTCAAATTAGTGCAACTTACAACGCCACCAGAACCACTGAACCTGAACTTTCAGGGCAAAAACCCTCTATCGAAGCATTTCTTGCAAAATATTCAACATTACAACTGTGTATTCCATTCCAAATGACATCATTTGGTGCAAATATAATTCAGAAAAGCAAAAGGAGTTTTAATCCAAATTTTAAGGTATTAATTTCTTCTGTAACAAACATCATACACACAAGCCGGGTCGGGCAGCTAGTTATACATATTTATAATTTTTTGGTATAACTTGTGTAATTTGTATTTCAGATATTGGTGGCTAAGAATTAAGTGCCTCGCCGATGCACATGACTGGATAGAGTTAGAAAAGTTTTCAAAAAGTAAAAAATCACCTATTGGATATGCGCATTTTGTAGATGTGTGCTTGGAGAAGAATAACATTTCTGAGGCTGTTAAATATCTTCCCAGAGTTAGTGAAGATATTATTGTAAAATACTATGTAAAAGCAAAGTAAGTCGTTTAAAGTTGATTTATAAAATCTTCACACAATTTATTGTAGTAAACTCGAAGAAGCTGCCCAAATAGCCTATGAACAAAGAGACATTCAAGGTTTATTGTATGTCCAAAGTAAATCTGCGGCTCAATCAAGTTTGTCAGAGAAAATTAATGCGCAAATTTCATTATTGGGTGCGCGAAAGTAAGCGTAGTTGGCTAGGTATCTTCTGTGATGTAAAAATATGTGTTATAGTCAATTACTTTACTCATACATACAATATTTACTAAGCATATAATGTATAGGTATATCTTATGTATACAAAATAACTTGAAAATGTAACCTTTTTTAAAACACCCTTTAATTATTGATAAACGTGAAAACATTGACTACAACATTTGAGTCACTAGTGTTCTCAAAAAAAAATATCAAAACGGTACTTGTTGGTTATATGGAGGATATACCCGCATGGCAAACAACGATAAATGTTGAAAGTGTTCGAAACACAAAAACTTTCTAATAGATTTGTTTTTAAAAATAAAGTTGTACTGGAAGTGGGAAACAGAAAAGCAAACGTCTCAAATAGGTAAGACTAAAGCTTGTAGTAAACCTCATCGAAAAGCGACAAGATTAAGAAAATCAAACAACTTTACTTTTGTAGTGGGTTTTCTATTCTATACGTTTTGAAGATTTTTTCTCGTTATTCAATTGCTTTTATATAGGGAATTTGCACATCCTAATAAGCTCCCCTCTTCATTGTTAATAGACAAAGGGGTGGATTCCTTGGAGAGCTCCTTGCGTGGACACACTTTGCTCCTCTTACATTCAGTGGACATCCTCGACCACCGAAATCCAGGCAAAGGTTAAGCGTAGTCTAGTTATAGCAAGTCTCTGTTCGACGTGCTTATAACATTTTTTGCGAGATCGAAATTAAAATTATACAACCAACATAAATATGCACTAAGAAATTAAGGAACGGTATAATAAATCGAAATGATCGAAGTGGTATGATGTATATCATCATTGACATTTAACGAGTGACAAAAAGCAAGTTCATGATTTTGGACTTTCTGGCGTCCCTCGATCGGTCCGTGCGTCTGGCGTCTGTGCACATGGTAACTTGTGTGCACAGCTGGCTGGCATTATAGGTAGAACATACACTTGAAATCAGGAGTCTATGGCCCTGAGTCATTGATTTGGGAATCAATTTCAGAGTTTTTTATGGATTTCGCACACTTGATTTAGCGTATGTCTGAAATTGATTGAAAAATCAATGACGCAGGGCCACAGAGTTCTAATTTCAAGTGTGTGTAAGTAGTAAAATAGCACAAATGTTGGGTTTTTCACTTAGACCATATAGTACATGGACTGCTAATTGTAACGAAAATATGGTCAAGGACATCGCCTGGGTATGTGAGTTTCAGGGTAAATGACTCTGTCCGAAGTTGTCCGATTAGATACGATTTGAGACTGTCAACCTATAAATTAACAAACGTCAATTAATTAATGGCCTAGATAAGCAAAAAAAAAGAAAACCTGTTCTTATTTATGGACGTAGAGAAGATAATCAAGAGTAATTAAAGCTTCCCGTATACTACGCGATTACTATAAAAGCTACTCTTTACGCGATCCGGGTGATGTTTACACGACTTTAGTTTACCCTGAGATTCACATACCCACGACTACAGTGCCCTCTATCCATGACCAACCATTTTGTATTGAAAGCATAGGGCTAATAGCAGTCCATGTACTATATGGTCTAAGGTTTTTCATGTTCACTTATTTTTATGGCATGCTTGATTATTAGGTATATATAAAATTCGTTCTTGGGCACATTTGTCCAAAATTTTAAAAATCGCTGAATAGCTAAAATACTCCATTTAACAACTATGACATAAAATACTGCCTCCATAAAAAAAAGTTGTACTGGTATCAAAATTATTTCTACCCCAGTGATTTCTACGTGAAACTGTATAGAATTTTTTCCTTTACAATTTTTTTTCTCATAATGAAACATCAATTTATACCTCCATCCTAACGCTCCTGTATTGAGCATGGTACCCTATTTTAAAGAGCATAATATACGAGGTCAAATTTACGCTGGAATTCACGAGATCGGCAACATGATATATTAGGCACGTAGTACGGGTGTTCCTGACGTAAGCTTAATCAACACCTTATTATCAAGGTTGGCTAAATATGAAGAAGGCATACTATATCTTATAGAAATAGAGACCTTCAGTTTTCCAATGTCATATATGTACTTACGATAAGCACCTCGTAAGTACTTAAAGTATTGCGCTTTCTGATTGTACCCGTGTAGGTATTGGTATGGTATAAATATGTAAATGACCATTTTGTTAAGTTTGTGGTATAAATCGAATCGATATTGATCCTACTTTTTTGTGCTTCTCTCTTTAATCCCTACTATATGGATCTTATACTTCCCTTATTTCCATAAGTTATTTCAAAATACTCTGTTATGAATGCATAGGTAACGCCAATTAGCACATAAGTACTTCATATACAGGGTGTCCCAGGACAAGATGCTGGCTATCTATTCCGTAACATGTTGGAAGTGACCAGACTGTAACTGAATATTAAAAAATAGCACACCAAATGGTAAAACAAACGTCCAATATAGCGAAAAACGTAAGCAAACGTTTAACACTAACATATTACCATTTCTCTATCGTGGGTTTGGCTACCGTGAAGCTGGTCCGACCCAATCGGAATATTGAAAAATCGTATACCAAATCTAAACAAACGTCGAAAATAACGAAACAAACGATTAACATACTCAACAGTTTGTATTTGGGTCCGGCGTCCGGCTAACTTCACAGACGTGGCGTTAATAAACCCACAATCTTTCACCCACACACAAATGGCCCATGCCGTATTAACAAATGCACGTCAAACATTTTATTTTGAGGTTGCGATTTCGACTGCAAGACAAAATTTCCACCTTGTACTATGCGATCAAAAATGAGTTGCTGTCGAGCCACCTTTGGAATTTTTGTTTCCATTGGAAATCGTACTTAACTTGAACTTCCAAAGGCGACTCGACAGCAACTATAAGTATACAAGAGCAGAAGGGCTAGGTATTTCAATTTTAAAAAAACTTGAATTTGTTGAGTTACAAACTCTGGTAATAGCGCATAATCGTTTTTTTGCGTGTACCTTTAAATAGTTATTTATTATACAAGACAAAAAGGGATATTTTAACCATTGAGTGAAGCGACGATAGTCCAGTCAAATTACGGTTTGGGCTGGATGTTGTAATTTCACTCAACGAAACCAAGCGTATCTTATGTAAAAAAATCGGCTGGATCCAAAAATCATAGTCCCCCTGGCCGGAACATATTGTTATTAACAAAAAACCAAGAAAAAATGAGAAAATGTGTTCTTTCGCAGTTGACTTCGAATATCTCGTTCACTATTACTCTGGGGGAAAGAATGAATAGAAATGGACTTGTTTGGAATAAAATTTTCTGCAAGATACAGTTGGTCCGGAAGGCTCATTTTCAACTGTTTTTGTTTTTATGGCAAAATGTAAAAAATTAATCTCTAAAATTAACAGTTTGTTATTATCAAGTAAAATTCATCCGATCTTTTTGAAAATCCGTATGCAGTCATTTCTTTTGATAACAAAACAATATGACAAACCCGATCACCGTAGGTTTCATAGTAATTGATTAATTAAATAAACAAGTAAAAAAAGGAATGCTTTGTCTTTCAAACTGGGGGACTACAAAAGCGTTCCCAATTTTTATATGTGTACATATAGTTTAACCCTAAAAGAATCTTTTCCATTATTTCCAATAATTGTCCCGATAATTTTTGCAAATCAACGGACTGTGGACTTTTTTTTAGTTAACTAACAAAATTCTATAGTCCGTCGATTTGCAAGAATCATCGGGACAATTATTGGAAAAGATTGTTTTAGGGTTAAACTATGTATAAAAAAATTGGGAAAGCTCTCGTAGTCCCCCAGTTTGAAAGACAAAGCATCCCTTTTTTACTTTTTATTTTACTCGGAATGTTGGTGGACGACACCTTCCTCGTCCCGAAAACGTGCATTTTTCGTACTTATGAAACAAATAACTATTTTCGCGTAGTCAGCAGGAAACGTGGTAATATAAACCAAAGAGTATTGTATAAACAAAACAAACGCTTGCGTCTGCGCGTTGCTGAGGGAGTCACGGTCAAACAGAGACGCAAGTCCGACCGAAAACATCCACGTATACCGCTCTCTGACCGCGGGTGGGGGTGTTCGATTTCTCGGTAACAGTGGCGTGGCTGACGATCTCTTCACTACAATATCTTAAGGGGTATTGACTTATATGTTTCAGAATTGAACATACGAGATTTGTATGTTTAGATCAATGAATAAAGAATACCAGGAAGGAGAATATCAACAATATACGTGCGACCGCGATGGTTTTTGCAAATGGCGGACAGTAGTTTCCTGTTCCAGTGGCGTACCTACCTTACAGTTGTAGAAGGATACAATTATAAAGAATTTTACACGAAAACAATCTAAACCCCTATGTGTCTACTCGGCCTATGACTTTTGTTTAACTAACCTCAAACTACATTCCGATAAAAAATTTGTAAATTTACATGTACTATATAAAAATAATATTGGTATCAATACTTACACATGAAATGTAATTCCCAAACTTTTATTTTTTTTCGTTTTGGAGCAACCACAAGCACAACAACTAACCATTATTTTATGTCACTGCAAAAACCACAACAAAAATGAGTCATAAGTGGCTTTTGCAAATGGCCGACTTCCGTCGCACTCTCTCTTGTATACAACCTGAGTAATGCTCCTTCCTGGTATTCTTTACGCACTGTATACTCGTATGCGTATAGACTCTGTGGTATCACACATGGGCACGGCGCTACGGCTTCAGTACGTAGCATGATACCACAGATTTAAACACTCATGATACTTAACTACTGTAGTATCATGGGTACGTAGGTACCTAGAAGTACAGATGATAATTGATAACTATCATTAAATTAACTAATTTGCGCTAGAAGTTAAAGGGAAACAAATGAAAATCATCGTAAAATAAGTCCCACTCGGTAGTCATATATGTTATTTACATGATTTGTGAAAACCGTTTAACGATAGCACATACAGGGTGGTGCCTCGCGCAACGCAGCATAGGGATTTCAATGGTAATTTCTTTATAGTCAATTACTAGCTCCCCTAATTATTTTAGCGCAAAAGTCTAAATAAGTTTTTTTTAGAGAAAAAAATACTGCATCTGTTCATACTTTTAGTTATAATTTTCCATTTTTCAAAACCGTAGAAATCGACAAAATAAAAAATTACATTTTTATAAATCAGTGATGCTTTGGAATCTTTTAACAAACTACAAGCGCATCGCATCTAAATTATGGTTGTTTGACGTCGAACGATTTTCATATTTAATTCTGTTACAACTATCCGATGCAAGAAAAAGCGGCAATTGGGTAATGTTTTTTTAGAGAATGTATGCTGCATCTGCATCAGATACTATTTTATCAGAGAGAATCAGAGTATCTACATAATCGAAGAAAAAAAACTGATTTGAAGCAGATTTGTTTCTAAACTTATATTCGGATTTTCCGCTACTGCAGCCAAAACGTTGAATGTATTGTCGTTCTCCTGATGGTTTTGACGGACATTATGAACGTTATTGCGCTTGCAGTTCTTTAACTAATTTATAAACAAGTATAAATTTAATATACGTCAAAGGCAAATAATGAAACGTGATCGCTGTTTTTTTAGGTAATTCCAAGGCATATTTGATTTATTGTAAAATGAACCTTTTTATTTTGTCGATTTCTACGGTTTTGAAAAACGGAAAATTATGAGTAATAGCATGAACAGATTCAGTATTTTTTTCTCTAAAAAAAACTTATTTAGACTTTTGCTCTAAAGTAATTAGGGGAGCTAGTAATTGACTATAAAGAAATTACCATTGAAATCCCTATGCTGCGTCGCGCTAGGCACCACCCGGTATATTCCGTTCTCCACTTAGGTATTACCATTGTTTAAAGTATTTAAACAATGGTATTACCATTGAATTGTATTACCGATAATTCGTCTTAGATTAGATGCACCATATCGTGTATACAGTATACTAGTGCTTTAGATATTCCTCGGCAAGGTTTTTAGTTTTTTACAACACGATGAATAATTTTCTAAGAATAGTTTTTTCTCGAAATATATTTTGTCTGTCATTCTAGATAAATACCTACATATATATAGACGCTCTTATGAAATGAACTTATGATAAATATAGGTAGGTATCTGATATAGCCGTATAGGTAAATCTGTTTACAAATTCTAATGAAATAAGAAGACACGTACTTGTCGAACCAACTTAAATTTCTTGATTAGAATTTCCAGTTTATAATCCTCCACACCTATACCTACCTAGAATTATCATTCTTATCGGTCGGTAACAGGAAAGTAAATAAATTATCAAAAGCCAATATCTACCTCCCATCACGTAGTTGTGCTGTGATGGATAATAATGCAGTTCAAGCGTATACTTAAGCAGGCCTTCCACGTGCATTCATTTCATCGAACTTGGAGTGTACCTACACTTCTGCAAACAGACCAAGTTCGAACGTAACGTGGGAGGGGTCATCGCGCAAAGTTTGCATCGTTCTTGGTGCCAATCTTGAATTCTTGGCGCGGAGCGATGTTGGACGCGTGCGTGGATGTAGTTGTCGCTCCTGAGATAGATTTACGCATTGTACTATGCGAAGAACCTAAAACACATATCGTGGTTTTCGCGTACACAATCGTACCGACCGCTACAATTTTGCAGAGTTGAACTCAGACCCAACACGTCGGGAAATTTGTCGCAAGAGTTTGTGAGCGAATCTTCTTTAATCGACTTTTCTATCGAACTTAGTATTCGAATGTATTTGAATCCATAATTGACATAATCCGAAGAACCGTTGTTTATTTCCATTAATAGTCACAAATGAGGGAATTCGTACCTTTTCAAGTAGGTACCACGGTTTCATCCAGTAGTTTATTTCTTTTTTCTCATCTTCAGGTTTCTTTCTTCTGTTCGACTTCGACATCCTTTGGCTTCAAAAGACAATCAAAACTAATCATTCCGCGCCTGTATTTGTTCGCCAAGTTTGTACGAACCATGTGCGAACGTGGAAGTGGTGTTTCAACATTCTATTCCAAGTTCAAAGACACGGCGTTCATTCAAAGTTCGATGAAATGAATGCACGTGGAAGGCCTGCTTTACGTGGAGTTCTCGAATATGTGTATTATCTAATCTTTTTGGTCGGGTCCAATTGATATAGGTGCCTACGATAATACATCAATCGTTATAGTCTAATACGTAGGTACCTGCATATCTACAAAGATTTGTTCATTTCGTGGCATACATTTAGCAAACATTCAAGATCAACATGTCAGGTAAGGTTTACATTTTCATTTGTGCTAGATTTAAGGGTGTAAATTATTTCTAGACGAATACGGTTTTAAGCCCAACTTGCATCAATACCCGCCCGCGCCTACTCCATCGTACCCTGCCGCACCTTCTTACCCTCATCTTTCTACTCCTTCTTACCCACCCGCCCCAATGCCATCTTGCCCATCTTACCAATCACCTCCCCATCATGGTTCCCATCATCATCCCCCACCTACAAATTACTCGCCTAATTATTATCCGCCACCTCCATCAAACAGCTATCCAAATGTTGCACCTCCTCATCTGCACGGAGGAAGCGGTAACCCTAGTGATAAAAAGGGTGAGTGCTGTCAAATACTGTAATCATTTCTGTATCGTCTGCTTATTATTTAAAATACAAGTTAAGTTATTGCGCAAACATAAATGACGAGGGCGTATGTTCCTCCTAATAATATTAATGCTAGGACCGGAAAAGAATATCGGTAGGCACGAGATCCTTACCCTATTCTCTTTCAAATGTTCAAAAAATTACACCTATCACACGTTTCGATGTACTCTGTTTCAAACGTTAGCCCCATTATACTAACTGTTGAGTTTTTATTACCTATATATTAAAATTTTTGTTTTGTCTACGTTCATTAGCAATTTATTTGCGTTAAACCAGTTCCCTAGAGTTTTCATTATATGATTTAGGTAATATTCTAGATCATCATTTCTACAAGCGACAGTCACACTAGTGTCGTCTGCGTAGCTTAAAACGTTGCACGGAGATGTAAAATTAATTGGTAGGTCATTAATAAATATTATGAAAAGAATTGGACCAAGGATAGAGCCTTGGGGCACCCCATATTCAACTAATCTTTGTTCTGAAGTTGTCTCTATTATTTCTCCCGAGCCAAGAACCTTTTCATTTGCAACATATTGATAACGCTCACTTAAATATGATTTTAAAAGTTTTAAGGCAACTCCTCTAATTCCATATTTGGACAGTTTTGACATAAGCAGATCGTGATCGACCATGAAACCCAGAAAAATGTTGACGATTAATCTGGGCATGCGCAATGGAAGTATAATATGTCTTTAAAATGTTTATCACCACAGATACTTGTAGTAAAGACAATCGTATGGCATATTGGAAAAATAATATGTGCGCATGCACAAACTACGCAGTGTCAACTTCCTTATTTATGGAATTTTTTGTTTGAAATTTTAACCACAGATGTTTCTAGTCAAGACGAGCATATTGCATATTTATGAAAATCAGATATGCGCATGCGCAAACGAGGCAATGTCAATTTTCTTATTTATAGAGATATTTCTTTGAAATTTTAAACACAGGTACTTCTAGTAAAGTCAAGCATAGATTATATTGTAAAAATCAGATGGGCGCACGCGCGAACTGCGCAATGTCAACTTATATTTATAGATTTTTTTTTAAATTTTAACCAAAGATTCTTCTATTAAAGGCGAACATATCGCGTACTTTAAACATTAGGTGTGTGCATGCGTAGACGGCGCAATCCCAAGTTTTTTATTTATAAGAATATTTATGCGACTGTTGTTTTCTTGAAAATATATTTCGTATAATACGAGTACAATTAGTATAAATAAACTAGCATACATTAACCCCCACCTCAACCCCAAAACCATTCTTACGCTCGTTCTTACGTTACGAATTACATTTATGATTTGTCAATCGTCATTATCACTATTATTAGTTATTAACAACACTGTGTCTAAGAAAACGAACACGGGAATCTCCGAACCCATAAAAGATATGACGATGGTCAAATTAGGGAAAAATTGCGCAATTAAAGAGCTAAGTATTATGATTCTTTAAAGATAAAGAGGTCCTGATTATTTCCGCGCCCGCGCACCGTTTCCGAGATTCCCTTGATAGACATCCTTAAACACTATAATTGCGCAAGGATTTTTGTTTACGACGCATTTTAGCGCATGATAAAAGGTACGATGTAGTAGAAAAAAAATATGTAAAAAAAGGAACTTTTGAAAACGTTAAGTTAGTCCTCCCCCACTTTTAAAAATTTTTTATGGCTTAACCGGAAAGGTGCTAGCTTTAATTCAAGTGGCGCAATTGAGCGCATAACCAGATGTATCGAGTGTCACAAATACCGGTAGCAAAATGCGTTATGGGGGTTCCGTTCACTTGGCCCCTCCCAAATATATTTAAGGATAACCAAAAAACAAGAATGGCGCAAAGGTATATTTTTACGGCGCATTTTAGCGCATACCTGGGAATACAATTTCGTATGAAAAGATGTTAAAAAAAAGTAACTTTTAAAAACGTTAAGTTGGCCCCTCCCACTTTTTGAAAATTTGTCACGGCTTAACCGTAATGGTGCTAGCTTTAATTCAAATGGCGCAATTGAGCGCATAACCAAATGAATCAGGTGACCTAGTTACAAGCGATAAAATACGTACGGGGGGGGGGGGGGATTTCTAAAAAGCGATAATGGCGCAAAAGTTACTATCGGTGGCGCATATGAGCGCATAACGTGCGCATTCATTTTAAAATAATAGGACTATCAAATCTCTCAGTGGGAGGGGCGGGGGGGGGGGGGCAAGTTAACGGACCTCGGGGAAAAAAGTAATTTCATAAAAAGTGACATTTTGTTACCTATCAACAGAGATAAAACGTTAAATGTTTTTCCCGTCACAGAAAAAAAACTTTTACGTAGATAACAAGGTGCTTGAACGGTAGGTAAATATGAGCGAATATCTATTTTTGACTATAAAGTCTAAGTATTGCGCAGGAAGGTAATGTGAAATTGTATCATACCAACATTAAGTACAGGCATGATATGCTATCTACATATATCTATTTTAATTAATGTTTTCGAAAACTTTTGCGCGCTTAATTTGTTTTAATCTGTGCGGTGAAGTCTTTTTTATTTTATATTATACACGGTGTAGAAACCGTTTACGCACCATAGGGATTTCAATGCTAATTTCTTTATATCGAAATATTTTTTCCATTAATTAATTTAGAGCAAATTTGTAAATAGGTTTCTTGTAGTTTGAAAAATTCTGCGTCTGCTCATTTCCTCTTTCATTAACAAGCTCCTAGAGAGTTTATAATTTTGCGGTGTCCGGTCCGGTCCGTCTGTCCGTCCGTCCGTTCGTTAGCACGATAACTGATAAACGAATGGGCCGATTACGATGAAATTTTGCAGGTAGTTTCTTTATCAAATTTGTAGATCGGAGTTCGTGAATTGGCAATGTAGACAAAAAAATAAAGTAGGCCCTTTTGACATCTCCATTAGTTATGAAATTTGGTTTTGCGCGTGCGCAGTGCCAACTTTCTTATTTATGGAAGCAATTAAATGAAATTTCATACATAAACACTTTTAATAAAAGCAAAACTAACATCAGGTTTAAAATTTGGTTTTATACATGCTATAGATACCCAGGAGCTCGTTTTTCAATTCGGGAAATCGGAAAAAAAATTAAAACTTTGATGTAAAATCATTATAGGAGAAAATATTTTAATACATATAAAGAAATTACCATTGAAATCTCTGGTGCGCAAACCGTTTCTACACCCTGTATATAAAATTATCACTTTAACACCGATAGTTGAGAGAGTTGACTGTTGAGTATTACTTTAATATAATGGGAATGCTATATCTACATAACTAGCAGACCCCGCGAACCTCGTACCGCCTTTGTATGGAAAATCTCGTTTTCTTCGATAAGACACACGCTCTGATTCGGCGGTTGCACCAACCCAGTAGCACCTTTCACACCCGGCGAACTATTTTTTTTTCAAAATCGGATAGGGCATACCCGAAAACCTATGTAACATCCTTAATAGGCAGTTTAGTAGGCATGATGGACGCAGCATATTTATTACAATACATGAATTGTTTAGTTATTACCTATTTATTTATTGTCAACTTCATTATTTATGATCAGATTTATTGAATTTGTTGAATAGGTAATCGTTACAAGAAATTGTAAAAAATGTACAGGGTGCTATCATTGTATGTACCTACACAGTGATAATACTTAATCGGACCATGACACGCGCTAAATTCGTCTAAATGACTTGAATCTTTTAAATGTAAAAATATTGATCACTTAATCCATGGTATGTATTCTGGTTTGGAATAATTATGGTGTTTATTTTACAGCATATTCTTGGATCGATTGGAATGTCCATCGCACGGTGCCCCCCACTGCTGTTCGTGGTGGAGTAGACAAAGATGGTAGTCAAATATATGTTGGGCGAGCTTACCACAACGGCGATTGGATTCCCGCGAAGGTAATTCCCGACAGGCACGTTGCGTATGTAGCGCATGCTGGTGGTGAGCACACGAAAGAGAATTTTCAGGTATGCTCTGTTACTTAATATCGAATATACCTAATCCTGTTATAGTTGCTTTGCGAACAACGATTTGATTGGGTGCCAGCTTGTAGCGGTAATATTCCACCAGGTGCAGTTGAAGGTGGCCGTACGGAGTCTGGTGAACCTTTGTATATTGGTAGAGTATGGCACGATGGAGCCAACACTGTCGGAAAGGTATGTCAAGTTTTAGATTAGGTACACTTTTGTTATAAGTAAATCATAATTTTTGTAGGTTCATCCCAGCCACGGTTGTTGTTATATTCCATATGATTCCCGAGAAATGTCATTTTCCGATTATGAAATTTTGGTGCTACGTTGTTAATATGTTGCTCATACTAGTATTGTTTGGTATTGCTACACAACATAATCATTTCAATTGCACACTAAAGTTCTGATGTTGGTTTGTGTTATTTCAATACAAAAAAATAAAAGTTCGCTGGTAAAATCTTGCATTTTATTTTTCGAGGTAATTTATTAAGTGCTCGAATCTTACCCAACAAAAACCGCAACATTTCCCACTGCGGTACTCTGGGCGTGTGTAATAACAAACACAAATTTCAATTGTAGCGCAAGGACTTTTGTCTGATGACTCCTAAGATTGGTCTGTGACATTTGTCTTTATAGTAATTTTCGATGAGCCTGGCTTCGTCTTGACATGGTCGTTGGAATAACAAATATAGCAAACGACCTTCTGGATCACTGACCATTTAATGAGAACTTCCTTGGGTAATGATAAACCAAATACTGAAAACTGAATTGGAAAATTCGAAACCGTTCGGGAGATACCTTGTCCACAGACGGACGGACGGACGGACGGACAGAAAGTCTAAAATCATGAACTCGCTAGGTGCTCGATAAGTGTAAAGATAGTAGTTCGTCTTCGGTGTGCTTGTACGAACAGTTAGAACTATGTAATGGGCATAATCGATGAGTGAAAAATTAAGGTATTTTGTTATTCACTGGCATAATCTACTACATCGGCGATGTTTACATTTCCCGCTGGATAAAAGTTACCTGAAAATTGTCTGATTGTAACATCAGCGCCAAGCGCTCTATTATAAACGATAGTTGTAAATTCAATGACGATAGTTTCGACGCGGGTTCGAATATCATATATTTAAGGATTTATAAGTTCGAAACCAATTCCCACTAAAGACCCGTCAGCCGTCACCGAAGAATCGTTGCGATCTCCATAAGTTATTTTGTTTGACAGCATCTCACCCTAATATCTGGTCCCTTACTACACACAAATTACGGTAACCATAGGCTTTGAATATAAAATTTATATTCAAAGCCATAGGTAACAATGTCTCTAATGAATGAGAACTACGCCGATTGCTACTAGACTCACCTCTGTCTTTTTAGCACATTTCCACAAAAATAAAAAAATGCGCTATTGTGGCCACTTTGTCCGTCCGTCCGACTGTCCGTCCGCTCGTTCGTTGAGACGCTATTAAGAGCTATTGTTCTACTTTTTTCGCTATTTGGTTCGTTATCGTGTCGAGGCTTGCATCAAGGAAGGAATTTTTTCTGCGTTTATTGCTAAAAAAGTTATTGTACAAAAACCAACAAACCGTTTTTTACATGTTCCATAATTTTTCACCTTTGCCGTTTATTAACGATCCTAGAGATCGTTTATAATTTTGTATTGCTGTCTGTCTGCCCCTCTATCTGTTAATGTGAACGATAACTTTGTTTAGAAATGCCCGATCGCTTTGACATCTCCGTTAGTTATGAACTGAATTGCATGAAATTCAATATGGACATAGCTTTAGCCATATAATACGCAGTGCCAAATGTTGAGTCGAATCGATTGAAAATTCACAGTTCCCTTTTCCAGTGGCGTACGTAGAAATTTATTCGGGGGGGGGGGGGGGGATTAAACAAGTTCGTGGCACATACAGTCACCCAGTGCGTACTAGAAAGGGGAGGGGGGGGGGTAAGAAATAGAAATTGGGTTGCAGGTTGCTGATGCTGGTAGTCATTTATCTTATTCACTATTGTACCGGCGAAAAAGATTAGATTAGAACGGTATTTTATTTCTTACTGCTGACAGGCCCCTTTATTGCTTATGCTTTAATTAGTCAACGAAAACTTTGAATAATAGGTACCTATATTTATGGGCAAAAAACCAATTTCGACAAAACATTCAAAGGGCTTTAACTTTTGATCTAGTAGTCCGATCTTGGAACTGTTTGAAATTATGGATTCTACAGGCCACATTCTATAAGAAAATATTTTTTTCCGGTCGATCTGAGACATTTTTTTTTTCTGGGAAAAAATAGCAGTTAACCTTCCTTTTTTACTTTACTTAATTCTATCTACATTTCATCGTTCGTGGATTTATCGAAGTGTAACGTTTGTTGGTTGAGTTGTTTGTTCCTTTTACTCGTTTAAAGAACGTATAATGGCTTCGCCAGACGAAACAATCTGTTTTATTTGTGAGAAGAATTTAGTAGGTGATGAAGAAACAGTGAAAGTGATTCGAGGGATGGAAAAATTGAGGAAGACAAGTGCAAAATATTGTGATGGGAACAAGATATGTCGACGACAGTATGGACTCCGATGTCGAAACTACTCTGCATTCGGATGATGACACTGCTGTTGAGGCGAACGATGAAATGTAGATAGAATTAAGTGATTATAATTTTGAATTGTAAATAAGAAAATACGTATGCTTCCAGAATGTTGATGAAATTTCTTAAACTAACGTTCAAATCGGTTATCCTATGGTACAATAAGTAAGAAGTATGTCTTTCATCAATTTAGGCGTCCATAACAACCATAGTACAAAAAATCATCAAAGAACTTAATATTAGACTACTCAAAAGAATGGTGTAGGTTAACGGTTAGGCCTGGGCTAACTTGCAAATAAGCTATCGTGTAGGAAATTTTACGAGGAACATTTTTTGTTTCAAAAGTTTTTCTCTAAACCTGCTACATTTCGAGATATTAACGAAAAACTGATTTCGGGGGGCAAAAACGTGCCACAGCTCGACGAGCGGCGCAGTTGGGGGTCTGGACTTTTAGTACGTTATTCGGGGCACCTAAACTGAGACATTTCAACAAAAGTCCAGCTTCCCCCCCCCCCCCCCCCCCAAATGTTTAGACCATGCACTTACCGCCAAAAATTTCTGACTGGCACCAAAATTCTTTTTCCGTCTCAATCAAAAGTTATGGGCAAAAAAATTCCTGTTTTTAAAATTTAAAATTCTTATTTTCGTCATTTCGTGAAAGGCAGGACGCAGGTACGTCACCTCAGTAGCAGTACTAAGTACCTGATACCTATTTGTTATTTTGGGCATCAATGTAGCGAATTGCCGATCGATACCGAATAGCCAAATCGTTGACTGCCAACACTGATCACTCACTGAATAGTGAATACTGAATACTACAGAATATTTAGATTTTAGACTTTAACCAAAACCAAAATTGCTCTCTATATATACCTATATATTATTTCCTTTATTTTAAAGTGGGCGGAGCGGATAGCGGAGTATTACCTAAATACCTAATAGAGATGATAACTCAATTCTTCTGGGGGGGGGGGGATATATCCCCTTCATCCCCCCCGTAAATACGCCACTGCCCTTTTCGCATCTCGACCATTTATAAACCGAATTGCACACTTTTTTGTTTATAAAAGTATTTGAATGAAATTTCATACATACAAACGAATGTAATTGGAAATGCGCTTTTTGTAAATCGTTTACGATTAGGTATTTTTTAACTTGTTTGATGTGCGTGATTTTCTCAAAGCTTTCTTATAATATGTTGTTGCGTATAGACATAGAATAGAGTATATATTTACTCTATGGTTATAGGCAAACTTCGTATCTGTCTTTATGATTTGCCATAGTGAATCCATGCCGTTTGCTAAGTGTAGGTACAACATATATATACCTACATGTTTCCAAATAGGTAATTAATCTTAAAAGACGTATTTCTTGTTTGGAGAATGACACCAGGAATTTAAAATGATATTTGGCTTCAACTCAGAATTCTACAACACTTCGGTAATTTGGCCCCCGCCTCGTTTCCAAAAATTCCGTAAATAAAATTATTCAAAAGTAAACACAACACAACACACACAACAACACAAAGTGGGGCGGCTGGAATGTCACCCTTCGCACCGATCAATCACGGCTATTATTTTGCCCACAATTGTATTTAATCGCACAATGAACTCACTGACTAATATCATTGAATTTAAATTCAATGCTAATATCTTCTTAACGCGTACTGTCAAACTAAAGCTGAATTTATAGTTCCGTATCCGCAACACCGTACCGTAACGTTTGGAAGTAAACCCTACTTGTTGGGTGTGAACATTTATAATTTGCTTTAACGTTGCGTTAGAACGGTTACGGTACGTAGGAAATGCCCAAATCTTATTTCTTACGGTAAATCGTGCTAAGGCGCTTGTCTTCGGTAGTACTCGAATAATTCAAACGGTTGAGTTTATCCTGACGTTCGTTTCGTTTATTGACAATAATTAGTGACACTTTGTTGGCTATTATTATTTTGAAATGCACGTTACTCTTACTGACAGATGACATACAATGGCAGAATTCGTTACGCGCTAATGCGCAAGCTGGCACTTGCCACTACGGAACTATAAATCGTATTATTTTCGTTAACGTAAGATTTTACGGTTCCGTTCTTACGTTACGGCTACGGAACTATAAATCCGGCTTAAGTAATACTCGTATTAGTGTGCGTTTACAATGAACGTATACGTATCAAATACATAAAACGTAAAAATTTCGCAAAGTTGAACTGTATAGAAACATACGAAGGTGTTTACAATGAACGTAATTTTTACGTACCTATATGTAAGCGATATGTAAGTCTTCCGCATAGTCGCAAAGGTTGAAAATGTGTCAGTTACGTACGGTTGGTAGTAAAAAATAAATAATTAATGTTGGTTGCACTGTTGGGTTGGTATAATTCATGTATAATTAAAAAATATTTGCGCTTGCTGACATTCAAACTTCAAAGCGGGTATCATTCATGGCGCGAAGATAAATTATACACACAGTTTTAGATTGACTCCAAACCTTACAGCGCGTCATTTCGGGAGTGCACGCGAAGGGGCCCTGTTAGCCGAAGACGCACGAACAAGCGGCGTATTTTGGCGCGAGATATTAATACGTTATATATTTACAATTCACTACATAAATTATACTCTTTTTTGCAGATAAATGTCGCTTACATTCCTATAAATTAACGTAAAAAATTACGTTTATTGTAAACAGCGAAGTAAATTTACGTAAACGATACGAATATGTACGAGTTAAGTTTTATGAAATCAGAGACTGGATATAACTAGACTGCGCGTAACGTAGATTTTACTATAAACGCCTGTTGTCAAGATAGGATAGGCAACCAACAGTACAGTGCGGGGCAGAAATACGTTCTCGCAGCATGCTGTAGCATATGTAT